AGTGCTACACACACACACACACACACACACACACACACACACACACAGAGTCTCATTTGAGTATCACAACAACCTTATGAAATACATAAGTTCTATCATTCCCATTTTAAAGATAAGGAAACTGAGGCAAACCAGGAGAGGTGACTTGTCCAGGGTCAAACAGCTAGTGAAAGTCAGAGACTGGAATCTAAGTCATGCCTGCTTCAATAGCCATTTACTCAAATCTAAACCTGAACATGAATCCCCTCTACAACATACCAGTTAAGTGACCATTCTCCATGATCATTCAGAGATCACTGATAATTGTTCAGTGATTGGGGCAGCTAGGTGGCGCCATAGGGCACAGAGCACTGGGTCTGGAGTCAGGAAGATTCATCTTCCTGAGTTCAAATCTGGCCTCACACATTTACTAGCTGTGTGACTATGGGCAAGTCATGATGAACAGGGGTAAAATAGGATGGAGGGAAATACACAGTTAGTAATCATAACTGAGAAAAAGATTTAGAGTAAGTTTCTCTGATAAAGGCCTAATTTTTCAAATATATAAAGAACTGAGTCAAATTTATAAAAAATAAGAGCCATTCCCAAATTGACAAATGGTCAAAGAATATGAAAAGGCAGATTTCAGATAAAGTAATTAAAGAGATCTATAGTCATATGAAAAAATACTGTAAATTATTATTGATTAGAGAAGTGCAAATCAAAAATAAAAAGACAAACTCTGGGGTTCCACCCCACACTTACAAGATTGGCTAATATGACAGAAAAGGAAAATGACAAATGTTGGAAGGGATGTGGGAAAATTGAGACACAAATGCTGTTGGTGAAGTTGTGGACTAATTCAACCATTCTGGAGAGCAGTTTGGAACTATGCCCAAAGGGCTATCAAACTGTGCATAGACACCTTTCATCCAGCAATACTACTATGAGGCCTGTATCCCAAAGAGATGAAAAAAAGGAAAAGGACCTATATGTACAAAAATATTTATAGCAGCTCTTTTTGTGGAGGCAAAGAATTGTAAATTGTGGTGATGCCCATCAAATGGAGAATGGCTGAACAAGTAGTGATATATGATTGTGATGGAATACTATTGTACCATAAGAAATGATGAGCAGGATGCTTTAAGAAAAACCTGGAAAGATTTACATGAACTGATGCAAAATTAAATCAGCAGAACTAGGAGAACATTGTACACAGTAACAGCAATATTGTACCGTGATCAACTATGAATGAATTAGGTGTTCTTAGCAAAACAATAACCCAAGACAATTCCAAAGGACTTTTGACGAAAAATGCTATTCATCTCAATGCAGATCAAAGCAAACTTTAAAAAAAACTTTATTTCTCTTAGGGTTTTTTTTTGTCTCTGTTTTCTTTTACAAACATGACTAACATGGAAACATGTTTTGCATGACTGCACATGTATAACATATCAAATTGCTTGCTGTCTAGGGGAGAGGGAAGGGAAAGGAGGGAAGAAAAGAATTTGGAACTTAAAAAATTTTAAAACAAGTGTTAAAAATTATTTTTGCATGTAATTGGGAAAATGAAAATATTAAATAAGATATATATATATATTTACATTAAAAAAAAACAAATTGCAGATCTGATTTCATTACTCCCTTGCTCAAAGACCTCCTTCTATCCCCCAGTATAATATATGAATTCCTTTCTTTTACATTCAAAGTCTTTTGCTATCTGGCTTGCTTTTACCTTTCTAGGATTTTTGCACAATCCTCTGAGTGTGTCCCTTTTAGCTGCCTTGATCTGCTTGCTGTTCCTGTGCGTGACATTCTCTCTCCTGCCTGCAAGCCTTTGCAAAGGCCATCCTTCATGCCTGGAGTCCAGCTTTCCTCGCCTCATTTTTGTAAAAGCCCCTATTTGATTCAGAACTCACCCCAAGAGCCATGTTCTACAGGAAGCATATTGTGATCCTCCCCACTGCTAATGCCCTGCCTTCCAGAAATTCCTTTAGATGTGCTTTGTAACTATCGCACATTAACATTATTCTGTGCATATTGCTTTTCCCCAAGAGTAGTTAAGTTCCTTGAGGACAAGGTCCATTTTGTATTTGTTTTTTTTTGTTTGGTTGGTTTTTTTTTGTAACCCAGAACCTACTGTATTTTCTGGCAAATAGTAAGTGCTTAATAAGTGCTTATTGAATGAGCATATGAAGCAAGGAGAGAGAAGGTAGGTGGGAGGGTCTGGAGTTTCAGGGTATTAGGGTAAGGGCCAAAAGCAAAAGGAAATGAGGGGCTTTGAGGGTGGGTAGGGATGATTTTATAATTGTCCTGGTCCACTAGGCAGCCAAGAGCAGTACGTGAAATGTTGCCTGAACATCCAGATGGATTGTCAGTTTTATTTAACCGTTTTGTTTTGTTACAAGATACTTCTCATAAAGTGGGTGTAATCAGCCAATGTCTGTAATGTAAAAACAAAATGTTGATAAAACTTTAAAAGGAAAAAAAAGGAGTAGTATCTTAAGATCAGTAGCAGCATGTAGTAGGCCTGGATGGAGGAGTTCATGAGATCAGAGCAAGTGGTCCAGATACTATGGCAGTAACACAGACTGAGGAAATGTGACTTGGGTTAGGTGGAAGTGGAAAGAAGAGGGAGGATTCTGTTGAAAGGTATGGTGAAAAATAAAGGGAATTTGAGAAAAATGGAGTATGGGGATCAATGAAAGGGATTAAGGAAGATTTCAGTTAGCCAGGTGGGCGTTGCTCATGCTATTGACAGGAGAAGGGAAATTGGAAGGACTTCCTGTTTGGAAAATGAGCAGATGGTGAGGGATGAAGTAGTGAGGACAGAAATGGTTTTAGAGGGAAACTGAGGTAGTGTGGTTTAGTGCAAACAGCTCAGAATTAAGAGACCTGGGTTGAAAGCCTAGCTCTACCACTAACTCACTTTGTTTTGAGCCAGTCATTTCCTCTCTAGGGACTATTTCCGCCCCTATAAATGAGGATATTGCCTGGATGACAATCTAGGGTCCCCTGGGACCCCACCATTCCCTGATTCCATAGTTCTCCAGCATCTCCTTAGGCTCCCCTTGAGGGGTCTCAACCTCTCAGACCTCAACACCCCTAAGTTTTCTCTCTCAACCAATCACCTCTCAACATATTCTACCTTCAGAGTGGCATCTGGGATTGGACACCGCAGATGTGAATCCATCAGGGCAGGGGAAAAGAAAACTGTCTCTTCTCTGTCTGTAGAAACATTTCCTTTACTCAGGAAGCCCCAAATCACATCAGCCCTCTTGGCCAGCTCATCAGGCGGCTATCTCACCTAGAGCTTGTGGTCCACTAATCATCTTAGGTCAATTATGCATAAACTGCTTTCTAGTAACTTCTCCTTCTCCCCCCTCCCTCCAACATGTGCTGGTGCCTTTGAATTTGAAACTAAGTGACAGACTTTATGTAGAGTGGTGATTGGCCAAAGGGGAGCCATTGATTGTTAAGACAGAAGAGTAGAGAGGAGGAGGCATCTTTGACCAAGTAGAGCTTTATTGTTGCATTAGATAAATGAGGCAGAAAAGGTTGGATTCAGCTCTGAAATTTGGGGAATTTGAGAGGAGATGAAGTGATAATCCTGGAGTCTCTCCGGTCCCAAAGGACGTCTCAGCAGCTTAAACCCGAGGGGTAGTGAGGTGAATCAGCCAGGAGAAGTGAGGTCAGTGGCTTATCCTGATTCCTGAAATTCTGCTCCTCAACCAAGGGCAAGCAGGTCAGCAACAACCCCCAGAGCCACCACCGCAGTCTCCAGACTGCTGTCTGCGGCCACAGCCACTGTCACAGCGGCCAGGGCTCTGGCCCCTGCATCTGGGGGATCTCCTGTGATGGGAAAAGAGGCAGCAGCCGCTCTCAGAGCCTGAGCTGCCGCATCCTCCGGAGCTGGACCCACAGCCAGAAGAGACAGGAGTAAGGCATGGAGCCTGGGGAGGGCACTTGGGGGGGCACTTAGGAGTCTGGCATTTGGGAGGGGGCTGGCACTGCTGCTGGTTTTGCTGGCAGGACATCTCTCAGTGAGTTCAGTAAACCTGAAAGACAATAATGGAGTTTTCAGATCCTTGAAACCCAGAGAATCTTTTCCATTTTGAATCAATCCACAGTGTGAAGATGTATTATATGTAATATTATTGTATTGTATTATATATTATATTAGTATCTAATAACAAAAGATCTAAAATTTATTCCTGTAGACAAATATATTCAAGTGAAAATTTGGGGAGCAGGGAATGAACATCTGGCACTAAAACTGAAGGTAAGGAACATTTTATGAACGTGTCAATGTGGCCTGAGAGGCAGCATTGTGTCCTGGCCAGGGAGCCAGCCTCGAAGACCTGGGTCAAGTCCTGCCTGTGACACAGAGTGGCTATGTGGTCCCAAGCAAGTCATGGCCTCTCAGTGCTCTGACCAACTTTCTAAGACTATTGGAGCTGCAGAGAAGGTGCTAGCTCACATTACAGAAGGAGTTTCATCACATAAGGGATTCCTTATGCCAAGATAATGAGAGGTCCAGACCTTATCCTAATTTAATGAGTAAGTCACAAGCCAATAAATTCTGCAGAATCTCTTTTCCTCCGCTATGTGTGTTCTAGATAGGAGGTGATAAACTCCCCTGAAAGCCTGATCTATCTAAAGGATTCCAGGACATTGCCATTTCCAAGAATTCAGGTGTCTGCTGCTCCCTCCCCTTCTAGACAGTAGGCTCTTGGCTTCTCATCTGGGAAAATTCAAACTGATTCTCCATCAGTATATGACGACAACAACAACAACTAGCATTTGGGGTTTTCGAAGAACTTGCAACAGTTATCTCATTTTATCCACACAACAACCTTGAGAGAAAGGTGCTATCATTATCTCCAGTTTATAGATGAGGAAACTGAGGCAGACAGAAGCTAAGTGACTTACCCAGGGTCACACAGCTAGTAAGTATAAGGGACAGAATTTGAACTGAGGTTTACCTGACTATAGTTCCAACACTCTATCTATCCACTGTCTCACAAACCCAAAATTCAAACTTTTGCTCTTCACGACTTCTAGACTTCTCACTCAGTTTGAATCTATTTGCTTCTCAGCCCCTTTATCCTTCCTCTTTCACCTCCTCTGTAGCTTCCCTTCTATTCTTTATGCTCTCACTCCTTCTCCTCCAATGCTCAGCTCCAACCCCTCTCCCTGGGTTCTCATACAGACACTCACCTTGCTCACAGACACAGACAGGTACTCTCTGCTGAGGAACCAAAGTGGATGAGGAGCCAGGGCAGGGACACCTTTTATAGGCCATCCCAGTCTGAGCTGTTGCCGTGAGTCTCAGCTCCCTAGGAAAAAGTGTCTTTCCCAACCCATGGCATGTGTCAGACAATTCCTGACATTCCCCAGTCTCTTATACATAGGCATGAGCTAATACATGGATCACTCATTTGAAAGGGACATTAGAAATCTTCCAGTGTAGTCTCTTATTTATTTTACAGATGAGGAAACTGAGGCTTGGAGACATCATACCAGATCATGGGAGTAATCAAGGGGAAAAGCCCAAACCCTCAAAAATGAAGTCCAGTGTGCTTTTCATTTCATCAACCCTTGTTAACTCTAAGATGGTTTCTACATAGTCATTTTAGAAGGAGTCTCATCTAGAACACACATAGTGGAGAAAAAGAGAGATGTTGTACGCTTGCAGAGAGCCACCTCCTTTCTAAAATTTGGGAGTCCCTCAGTCATACAGAAGTCCAGGAAAATGCCATCAAGTTTAGCTTCTAGGCAAATACTAGGCTTCAGTCACTAAGGTTGTCTTCAGTCCTAGAAATGTCTCAAACCCCACATCCCACTCTTCTCCCCATATCCATCCTCCTGCCCAGAATTCAGTGCAGTCCACAGAATCTAACTAGGAGATAAAGGGCCTAAATTCAAATCCTGGCCCTACTATTTACCACTTCTGTTACCTAGGATAAGCAACGTAGGCTATTTAGGTTTTAGCTTCTTCATTTCTAAAATGAGAAGATCGGAATACATGACCTCTATCTATCTCTCCATCTACAATCTGACTATTGTACCCTGGAATGCTCTCATCCTGTCTCCAGCTTTGAGCTGTGGCTTCTCCAAGACATATCTTTGTAAGGCATCCACCTCTCAGCTTCATCCACGTGCTCTCCTCTCACACACTCTCCCCTCAGCATAGACATTTATCCTCAGATTTTCTTTCTCTCCAGATGCTGAATGGCTATTCTCTTATTTTTCAGGGGAAACCAAAAGTGAATAACTGACCAAATATATTCATTTTTTTTCATTCATTCGTTGTTTTAGCAAATACTTGAAGGCCTACTCTATACAAGGCTCTCTGGTCAGGGTTGCTGATGAAAAGACTAATACATAGTTTCTGCCCTTAAGGAGCCTATGATTTAGTAGGGAGACAATGAATTCACAAAGATCTATAATGGAATATAAGAAAAAAATAGGTGCCATAAGAGGGCTGACCTTATGATAGAGGAGGGACGTCAGAACAGGAAAAGATCATTTCTAGCTCAGGTTACCAGGAACATTTGCCTTGGTATAGTGGAAAAAGTCCTAGATCTAAGGTCAAAGGATCTGAGTTCAAATCTTGGCCCTGTTGCTACCTTGGGTAAATAACGTAAGCTCTCAAGGAAAAAATTTAGTAAAATGAGTGGGTTGAATTAGATGACCTCTGAGCTCTTTTCCTTCTGCATCTTTGATTCTTGGATCCTACAACACTATGTGTAGTGACATAGACCTGTGCTTCACTTGGTACAGACCTCAACAAATTCCTATTAACAATAGCAATATGATCATGGTTCAATGTTGTGGTGGTAGTATTGGTAATGATGGTGATAAGGACAATGATGGTGGGGTAAGGACAACGATGATGGTAGTGGTGGTGATGGCAGCAGCAGTATTGATAATTACAGTGATAAGGACGATGATGATGGTAAGGTAAGGACAATGATCATGGTAATGGTGGTAGTGGCAGTAATGATAGTGATGGTGTTACGGACAATGATGATGGTGGGGTAAAGACAATGATGATGGCAGTGGTGATTTTGGCAGTGATATTGATGCTGATAGTGGTAAGGACAATGGTGATAGTGATGATGGTCAGGAAGTATTGTTGATAGTGATGGTAAGAGCAATTATGATCTAATGAGATAATGCATGCAAAGTACTTTATAAGCCTTCATGTGCTAAGTGAATGTCACCTGACTTATCATGTCATGATGAAGCAGGCAGCAATGCTGATGATGAGAGTAGGAAAGATCTAGTTCTGCTTGTCGCCTAGTCCCCACCCCACCAGTCATGCACTGCTCCAGTTGCCCAACAGACAGTTCTGGATTCTGAACCTCAGGGAAGATTTGAAATCTCTCATGATGGGCTGGGGTGAGTGGGCAGACTAGTGGTCAGTGGGCTAAGTCAAGACTGGCCACATCCTGTGTGACCAAAGCCAAGAGAATTGCTGGGGCATTTTCTTCAGATCTCTTTGATGCTATTGGATGGGAAGTTCTTCATGTTCTCCTCCAAGAGTATGAGGGATAATGGGTTAAAAGAGTGAAGGAGGCCCTGGCTGGAAGTGGGGGGCGGTGTGTGTCTATCAATGGTAACAATGAATGTCAGTAATGGGAAGACTTGGGAAAACCAAGGTGGGGTCTGTTGAAGGTGTGTGACTGTCATCTGAACAAACATGAATATCCCTATTTAAATTCACCCTTTCCTCCCTTAAGTGGAAGGACTAGGGTTGATCCCATCTTATATGGGGCGTGTAAGAAGGAGTCAGGCTCATCTGTTGCTTTTTTTCCTTTAATGCCTGGTTCTATATTTGTCCTGTCCTGTCCTTGAGAGTAAGGCAGCCATACTATCTTTGACCAGATTTGGGAGAGACAGATGAGTGTGAATCTTATAGTCTCTACTCTGAATAACTCCTCTCCCTGAAACACACACACACATGCACACACACACACACACACACACACACACACACACACACACACGTAAATGGTCCAATATGTCAAATAATTGCTGATAAACTCTATTTATTTCCTTGTCTATGGAGATTTCTCTACAGCTCTGTTGAGATCTTTGGACTCCTTTTCTCTTTCTTCCCTCTGGTTTCATTGCTACCCTCCATCTAACAAAACTACCCATCTTGGGCTTGGCTTTGCAGGTTGTTGGGTTTCTTCAGTATTGTTGTTTTGTTCACTTTCTAGCTGCCTAGCCTTCTGATTCTGGTTTGGGCCATTTACTGGTGACATTGCTACCTTTAGGGAACTTTACTTATTACTCATTGACTATAAAATGTTTTCAAATATGAAATAATAATAATAATTAATAATTTTATTGGTATTTTGAAATGAAAGCTGATTGGGAAGAACATGTTTGAGGCAATTAACACCTACACAATACCATTCTTAATGTATACCTTCCAGATTATAAAATTGATCATAACAGATTTGGAAAATACCCTCTTAAAAATCCACACAATATTTAAAAATAATACAGGGCCTGTTATCCTAAGGAAGCTGTAGAAAGATGAGCACTTCCACACCAAAAGTAGAGTACCTGATAAGCATATAGAAAACCTACAGATAAACTCTTGGAATAATCAAAGCCATGTTGATGAGTGTGAGCAAAGGCTACTAACAGTTATATATGATTGGATTTTTCAAATGTATATGAAAGTTCCTTGCCTCCAGATGGGGGTCTAAGATACAGCTAAGATTCAAAAGGGAAATCCAAAGGCCTTCCATGGACTACATCTGGATGAATTTGGCCAACAAATATACTAACTATGAAGCATCTAAAATGACTGAGTCATATGGATTTGTTTGTGGAAATGGAAGGATTCGTAATGGTAATTTAGGACTAGATCATTGCTGCCAGAAATTACAGACGGATTATCTTTAAGAAGCCTGGACTTATTATTAACATAGCTTATTCAAGGAAATGCTGGAGATTGTGCAACAACACAATAGATTGTTAACATTTAGAACCTCCCAAATACCTAGTTAGACATGACTTGGCGGCCAGAATTCTTTAAAAGAAGCTCACTATCTTTGATGGAATGACAGATGGCAAATCCTCATACAATAAATGTAGACCTTAAAATCTCCTGAAGAACTCAACCCATAAATTGTACTACAACTGGACCATTATACAAACTGATCTGTTTCCTGAAATTATCTGGAATTAACATTGATTTACAAGAAATTAAGAAAAACATTTTACTAGAACTCTCTATACCAAAGAGATTCAAAAATTGGAGATTCAAAATCTCCAAGCTACAACTAAAGGAAAACTTTCAAAGTAGAGAGGCTTAGCTGAGGAACTCAAAATCCTACAGGAAGAGGATGTCATGTGTTCCATTCTGTCCTCCAGGCTGTTGTGGTTGTACTGGACCCCAGATCTTTTTTTTTCTTTTAAATTTATTTATTTTAGTTTTCAACATTTATTTCCACAGGATTTTGAGTTCCAAATTTTCATCCCATCTCGCCCCTCCCCCCACCCCAAGATGGCATGCATTCTGAACATCTCTTCCCCTAGTCTGTCCTCCCTTCTATCTCTCCCCCACTTCTCTTATCCCTTCCCCCTTCTATTTTCCTGTAGGGCAGGATAGATTTCTGTACCCCATTTCCTGTATTTCTTATTTCCCAGTTACATGTGCAAACATTTTTTTAAGCATGTGTTTTTAAAACTTTGGGTTCCAAATTTTCTCCTTTCCTCCTTCCCTACCCATCCTCATTGAAAAGGCAAGCAACTCAATATAGGTTATACACGTGCAAAACACTTCCATAGTAGTCATGTGAAAAACTAACTCTATTTCCCTTACTCTTATTCCCCCCATTTATTCTATTCTTTCTTTTGACTCTGTCCCCCCTCACAAGTATTTGCTTCTGATTACCCCCTTTCCCAATCTGCCCTCCTCTCTATCATTCCCTTGCTCCCTTGTCCCCTTCTCCCCCTATTTTCCTGTAGGGTAAGACAGATTTCCATACCCAATTGAGTGTACATGTTATTCCCTCCTTAAGCCAAATCCTATGAGAATAAGATTCATTCATTCCTTCTCACCTTCCACTGTTTCCCCTCCACTGTAAGAGCCTTTTCTTTTCTGTTTTTTTGTGAGATAATTTACCCCATTCTACCTCTCCCTTTCTCCTTCTCCCAGTATAATCCTGTCTCACCCCTTAATTTTATTCTCCAGATATGATCCTTCATCTTCAACTCAAAATGTGTCCTCTCTCTCTCTCTCTCTCTCTCTCTCTATATATATATATACACACAT